AAAAAAAAAAAAAAAAAAAAAAAAAAAGGCTGTTACAAAGCTAGTACAAGGCAGGAATTTATAAAGATCAGAGCAAAAATTAATGAAATTGAGACTATAAAAAATACAAAGAATCAGGGCATCAGTTGGCTCTTTGAAAGACTTAACAAAATAAACAAACCCTTAGCTAATCTTACCAAAAGAGAAAACATCCAAATCAATGCAATTATAAATGAAAAAGCTAAATCACAACAAATACCACTGAAATCCAGATCACTAGTAACTAATTCAAAAATGTGTAATCCACTAACTAGAGAAAATCCAGAAGAAATGGAGATTCTTAGATACATAAGAATTACTAAAACTGAACCAAGAAGAAATAAAGCCCCCAAACAATCCAGTAACAGCTAATGAAAATGAGGCAGAAATAAAAATCTACCAATCAAGAAAAGCCTAAGATTCACCACTGAATTCTACAAGGACTTCAGGGAAGATCTAACACCAATACTCCTCAAACTCTTTAATGAAATTGAAAGAGAAAAAGTACTCCCAAAGTGATTCCAAAAAGACAGGGACTTGACTAAAAAAGAAAACTTTAGGTCAAATCCCTTTAATGAACATAAAATTAAGGTGTATTGTATATCTGTACCATCTCCCTAGAATTAATGTAATCATTATGTACTGAAAATGTACCAATAAAAAATAAAGAATTCACACAAAAATGGCTCCGAGGTAGCTCAGCCAATCATCATCTGCAAGGCCCTGGGTTCAATCCCCAGCACCACCACAAGCACTTATGCCTGAACACACACACACACACACACACAACGAATTTCTACAATATTCACTTGTTACTGAGCTGGACACACAAGTAATTACTAAATTCTACACTTTTTTTTTTTTGGTACCAGGGATTGAACTCAGGCCTTGCGCTTGCCAGGCAGGCGGCAGAACCACTGAGCCAAATCCCTGGCCCTAAATTCTACACTTTTAAGAAGAGGATTCAAAGTACACTTTACAGATGGTTTTACCTGGGGATCCATGTCATAGTAGACAGCAAAGAGCCCCCGCTGGCTGGCGCTGGGAGGAACATGACCAAAAAAGTCAGCCCCTTGAACTTTGCTGTCCCAAAATCGGTAAGGAAATTGCAAGGCAATCTGGAAAGCAAGCAAGAGAAAGGCAAGTAAGTGCTTCCTGTTTCAAAACTGCAGACTATGTCTAAGAAGCAACCTGCAGCTCTGCTCTAAAGCAAATCCACATGCTCACAATCTTCCCTTTCCGATCTTCTCCTGGTCTCCTCAGTTCTCTCTCTGAGCTTATTTTGCGGGTGTGCAGTGGAGAGGACCAAGCCCAGGGTCCTGCACATGCTTGGTCAGAGCTCTATCGCTGACATACAACCAAGCTTTTTCAAACAAATTCTGACACAGGGTCTTGCTAAAGTGCCCAGGCTGGGCACAAATCGTCCCATCTCAGCCTCCCTCAGCTCAGCTAAACTAGTGAGAATTATAGACAGTCACTGCCACTCCTGGCTTCATGCTTTTCCACCTCAGATAAAGCTGGGACCCACAATAACCCCAGACCAGTGCGGTGAAGCCAAGCCAGTGCAGCCCTGGCCTCAGAGAACAGTGTCCTCACATCTCTGTTGCTATTCCCACATTTGCTGACCGCAAATCCAAATTTTGAGTAACAAGACTCATGCTTCTAAAAGTTAAAGCTCAGACTCCAGCCAGCCTTTCGTTTGGGTAACACCCTTTTGTATTTTTCATGAACTACTGCTCAAATGAAATCTTTGAATTCTATTTGGGTTGTCAAAAATGACCCAGTACTTCCCTGTAGCCCAGGTCCACCTGACATTAATCTTGCCAGTCACCTTCTCGATGATGCCAGCACCCAAGCTGTTGATAGCTTTCATCTTCTTCTCTGACAGTGGTGGGTTAAACTGAATGACCCCCTTCTGTAGTATGGCCAGTGGAACAGTGACTAATACCTGTGGAAAACAATTAACAGTTAACACAAGGGCTGGGGATTTAGCTCAGAGGCACTGTGCCTGCCTCAAAAAGACAAGATCCTGTGTTCAATCCATGGTACCAAAAAAAAAAAAAAAAAAAAGTTCACGCACACGAACAGTTGAACTTAAAGCCATAACTACCCAGTGGGTTCATTTCCAGGAAAATCAACACTTGAGGATCATTCCTCTCTATTTCCAATCATAAGATTGTCAACATTCCATGTGGTTATCTTGTAAGAACAAGGGATGCCCTGAGCAGTTGTGTAGGTTGTTCACTGTTCAAGGGTGCCTCACTGAGAAGTGGCGTCCACAAGGAGGAATATGCATAACGGCCCTGTGGTTAATAATAATCCTGGATCTGAAGAGATAGCAAAGGCCAAGCCAAGCAGGGCTATAAAAGAAAACAGCCCACAACAGGGGGCTGGGAGAATTTCCTGTATTGTTCCTGATACTAGCACGTGGCAAGCCCCACGGCAGAACCTGCTCTATAACCAATTAATGTTTAAAATTAAAACTAAGATGTATTACTGTGCTTCGTATATGATAAAGCACGCTGCAACATGAGGATTATAATCCTATAAAGCCACACCGAGTTTTAAAAGGACAAAGTAACTTACTGCAAGGTCTCATTTAGAAGGGCTGAAGAAAAGACACTAAGTTCCAGGTCAAGAACGATTCTCAAAGCCAGATCACAAAACCAGGCTATGAAAGAGCTGTTATGGCTACAGTCAGGAAGCCTCTAAATCCTGCTATAACTCCTGAATCATGTCACCTAGAGCCACCTCCACCAGCCAACAAGGCCCCTCCTGCCCTCTTCTTGAATCCCTGTGGCTGACAGCTGGATCCTGGTGCCTCTCCTGTTCCTTCTCCCAAAGAACCAAGACCCTGTGCCAAGGGAAAAGATTCTTCCCTCCCCGCAGCCCCAGGCAGGCAGCAAGGAGTGCAACCTAGAAAATGCCAGCGCTTACCTTTTGTGCAGAATACCCAGTGCCATCTGCTATGGTGACCCGTACTTCATCTCCAGTGTAATCAATGCCCTGGACCTGCCCAAGACAGATGATTATGAATAAAATGAGGGCTGAACCACATGACGCAGGGTCCTTTCCAATTCCCACATTATGTAAGTTTCCATCTCTAAGGCTGTGGGGACTCGTTCCCTGGCATTCAGCGATCTAAGCGATCCTTATATCTGAACTCAAAGAATTACAATTTATAAACATCACATCAGAATAGAGGAAACCTTTATAATACAGTGGAGAGTAAAATATACATAATTACTTCTATTACTGCAACAACATATAATATCAATCCACTGAGAAGAAGATTTGAAGGGAAAATTTAAAAGTGAAAATAAGCTGCAGTGGGTCTGAAAGGCCGTAACTTAAAACATTAATGAACATGCACATGGGCTACTATGGTTTCCAGAGAGCAGCAGTGATCTGACAAGGACATTGCCGTGACCACAGGCTACAACTGTGCCAGGAAAGTACTGGAGACACTGGCGTGGCCTGCGAGCAAACACCTGTCTGATGAGAATCACACCCCCCAAAGTCCATCCTCCAAGAAAGGCAAAGCCAGAGGCTCCCACCCCTTCCCAATGCTCACCGGAGACCGGAGCCTAATGTCAAGCCCTTCGGCCAATTTCTCAACGATTACAGAGTACCCAGGAGTCAGGAGAGTGTGGTCACCAGCAAACTGGGCGAAGAACTCATTGTGATCCCAGGAGCGAGCCGACACCTGAGAAGCAACAGGAGACATTGGGGATCTGCAGTGTAGGTCTTCAAGCCTGTACCTTATGGTCACCAAAAGGAGTTCCATGCAGGAACAGAACCTCACAGCAGGAGGGCAGGGCCACCAATCCTACAGCAGACACCAAGGAAGGGGAGGAGGAAAAGACCAGCCCAAGCAGACACCACTGTCAGGCAGAAGGGAATCTCTCTATAATGCAGAGGAGTTTATTTTACAACGAAAATTCTATATGGGGCTGGGGATTTAGTTCTGTGGTTCTGCTGCCTGCCTCGCAAGCACAAGGACCCGAGTTCAATCCCTGGTACAAAAAAAAAAAAAAAAAAATTCTGTATGACTTCAGCATGGGTAACATTCACAGATTTTAAAATAAAAAGTTCACTGTGTATTCACAACTCTGGCAAAGGGGAATGCTCTTGGTTGAAACTGCATTTGGTCAAATCCACAATAAACATGTCACTCACTATCTGTCCTCCACACTGAAAGTCACAGAGGGTGAGACCCAGGGCAATTCTAGAAAATGGAACAATTCCAATTGTAACACAGAATCAGGTGGAGATAGAGTTAAACATCTAACAGAGTTAACAATCTATTCAAAATACAGAATGCCAAAGTACTAGGTCCACAGCTGGTTAGACAGTAGAGCAAGTTAAATTTATTTTGTACAAGATAAACAGGTCAGAACTGCAAGGATGCTGTGTTTTGGTTTCTTGAGAATGGCACTTTCAGACCCCAAGGTTACATGGAAGTGACCCCAAGGACCCTTGCGGAGGACAAGGAAAGGGAGCAGTCACAGGAAGAGGCTCGTGGCCTTGTCCCGCTTCACCCAGCAGCCCTTCTCTCCTTGGTTTTATAGACTGAGCATCTTCACAGGCAGGACTTGAAGGAGGATTTCTCTGGCTTAAAAAAAGCTAAAACCTTGAAGTCTTGAAGTCCTTGAAGTCTTGGTGATCAAACTCCTGGGCAACCATCATTCCTGCCTGTTTATCCAAGCCAGCACCAGTTCTATAGTTACATCTGCAAGCAGCACATACACAAAAACAAGTATTTCCCAAGCATGTTGCACACATCTGAGCCTACCTGGTGGAGGTTGCTGCCGCAGGCGTATTCCAGGTTACTGAGATGGAACTGGAGCACCTGCCCTTCCAGCTCACTGAACTGGATGCCAGACTCCTTAATGAAAGCTTTGTAGATCTCCTCTATCTTTTCTGTGATGGAATGGACCAAAGCAGAGAAAAAAATAGCTTTAATGTGATTTTGTCCAAAATCTTTCACCTGGCAAAACCCAAAACATCCAAAGTCTTTCTCGAAGTAAACTTGGGAAAGGCATCTCTTGACAAGGTTGAGTCTGTCTACAAAAATGTTTCATTTATGCTTACTTGAAAAACTTGCTTCTTTTGCTCAAGACATACCCGCCCATAAAGGTAACCAATACACAGAGCGGTCTACCATGCCCTTTCTAGTCCTACTGCCATCTCCTCTAAGTCAAGTTCTCACCTCAACTAGGAGACCTACGATAAACTACTGGCTACAGTCTCTCCCAGTCAAGAATATTTCCCTATGGATTATCACCACATTGGCCCTCTGCCTCAATACCTTTAAAAACTGCTTCCTGTGGACTGGGTAACTGATTTCAAAAGCTGTGGCCTAGGAGGGCCAGCACACATTAGTCTTTTCCAAGGTGGTGACTGCTACCTGTCTGCTTAAGCAGCTCCTTCATCTTCCGGGTAAAGTCCAGTCCTGCAGGTCCTGCTCCTCCATGGCCCTCCCCTGCAGGGACCTGGGATGGTCCCTGTCACCAGCCCCAGCGCTCATCTATCCCATCTAACTGGGACTTTACATAGGCACAGCACTGGGAAATCATTTCAACTGTTGTCATAACTGGGGGCCTAGTAGGCGGGAGAAGGGTTTGGGCCTCGGGCCTAATTCCAAGCATCTTACTACAGGTGACTTCTCCCTAATTTTTAAAGTAATGATAACCATCCAATTTGTACGTGGCAGACATCATGTTCACTAGAAACAGAGATGAGTATGTTAACTTTTTTTCTGTTTTGTTTTTCTACAACTAGATCTTCTTGTTAAATTTTCCAATTCTTATACTCTCTTACAATATGGAGATGTCCAAGAGACCTCCAGATGTGAGCCAGGTTTCTGCCCCTAGAGCTCGAGGTTTTCATAGCAGTCCTATTCCTGCCTACTGTACGTCTTCTGCCTGTCATTTCGGTGAAAGGGAAAGAATCAAGACTGTTAAAACAGAATATAAAGTGAAGTATAAACAGACTGGCAAAGGTCTTAATATAATTCTTATGTAAGTAAAATTTAAAGGGTTTAGTACACAACGCTTTGTGAAGTAAACTCTGGGCAACTCTTAGTACTTATATTTTGCGTTTTTTTCAGCTACATGGTACTAAAGTGAGATCTTAGTGGCCAAGATACTGACAGGCAGAATACAACTATAACCTTTATATAGAGAATTGCACACTACCCTGAATGCTTTTTCACAAAGTATAAAATGAAAAAGTATACTGAATAGTTTCTCTGGTGTGAAAAACTATAATGGTACATAAGATCCTAATGATATAATTGACAATGTGAAATAGGAAGAAAAGGGCTAAAGGTGTAGGGGAAATGAGAAGGGTAGAGGAAAGGTAATAAGGGAAAAGAAAAAAAAACATGAGAAAATGAAAATAAAGTATTTGTAAATAGGGAAGGAAGGGAGAGGGGTGAAGGGAGGACAAGGATAAGGGGAAAAAACGAAAACCAAGACCTGTCATGTAAAGGTACACGATCCCAATGATGAATATAACTGTACTGTATACATAAAATGTACCAATAAACTCAATGAGAAAAAAAAAAAAGACAAATTACTTATACAATATCTGTGGACCTCCCTTAGTAACTTTTTAAACACCAAAGCAAAGCATACCATCAATTTTTAAAATGTTTTAAACTCAGAAATGTGAAGAAAAGCCCAGCTAGCAGCTACCAGATAGGGACAAGATGAATTCTGAAAGCATCCTGAAAGTCAGCCTAGTAATTGTTGTCAACTCCAGAAAAATCAACTGACCACTTGGTCTGGACACTACAGCATTTGATTCAGAGCTGTCTGTTGACTGGAGTTTATTTCTGAAAATGTTCTGTTAAGATCTGTCTCTACACTTTCGCAATGACCAGAGTAGCAGTCAGTCTCTCAGAGGGAAGCTGAAAAAGGAGCGACAAACCATCCCTACTACTGAGGTGTTTACCCCAAATGAAATGAAACATGTATCAGTCTAAAGAACTAAGACTCCCCCTTTGCAAAAGAACGTAAAGTTGAAGCAAATAAACGTCTTATAAATTTAGGTTAAATGGTCCCACTCCTAATATCATCCCTCCAAGAACTACAAATGAATGAGTTCAGGTCACCAAATTGTAGGTTATATAAATATCAATTTAAGCAGCAACGTATTAACCCTCAGCTGGCACCCTCAGGGAAGTGAATCACTGTGGGCACTCAAGTGCCACCCAGTTCTGCTTAATGCTGTCCATTTAACCGCTAAAACCAAAAGATTCTGAATTTAAATTCTTAAATTATAATACCCTCTCTTAAGCAAAACATATAGAAAAAAATCATAAACTACTGCCTCAAGAAAAAAAAAAAATCCAGATACACTGAAACCTTTATCTAGAAAACATGCTACAAGGTGACAATGTATTCACATAGAGCTTACCATGTTTCCTTAAAAGTAAGCTCCTCTGAGCAATTTAAAATTAAACATTTAGATGACTGTGTAAAATGCCAGCTATTGGGCAAAGTAAGGGTTCCGCATGCAGGAGGCACAGGAAGGAGCATCCAGGGCCCCCAGGAAAGCCCACTGCCCAGAGGGGATTGGCGCAAGGATCCGCCCTACTGCAGAGGGCCAGGCTCAAGCAGGAACGGTGCTGCTACTCATCCAGTTTAGAGCAACACCGACACGCACAACCAGAACAGCATTCTCCCCATACCTCCTAAAGGGACATCTTGGAGCTGTGTCTTATCCTTCCTCCACTCAGAGACAACATCCAAGAGAGCATTAAAATGAAAATCCATGCGCTTGTCAATGGTGGGGTCAGTTATTCTTCCACCTTCCTGAATTAAGTCACATCTTTCTCCAAATTTATGCATGCTGATGCCAAGCTTCAAAATAAGAATAAGAAGGTGAACATTTTCCCAAGGAAAAAATATTCACAGGTTCTAAGCTGCAATTACAGCTGTCATGGAAAAAACTCAGAAGTAAAGCTGCATATGCTTCATGGGGATTGGCCACAAAGGGAGGCAGTGAGAAAACGGCACGGAACCTGAGGGTGACGGCCACGGCTTCCATGCCATGTGCCCTAAGCTCATCAGATGCTCTGCCTCCCTCCTCTGTGGACTCACAGAAACGAATACACAAGCACACAGACCTTCACAGAAGCTGAAATTGGTTTACTATCAATAAATGTCCAGGGAAAAACCTTGGCCCAGCCAGGTTGCCAGGTAATAGACAGAATGCCCAGCTAACTCACTTTGAGATAATCCTTTTTTAAGTACTGGGTATGCCCCAAATACTGCATGTAAAACATCCCATGTAATTTTTTTTCACTAAGGGGATTGAATCCAGGGCCTCCATGCTGAGCTATATCCCAGTCCCATTGCCTTTTTTTTTAGAAGGTCTTGCTAAGTCACTAAGTTGCCCAGGCTGGGCTTGATCTCCCTGTCTGTCTCAGTCTCGCAAAGTGCAGGGATTACAAGTGTGTGCCACCAGGCCCTGCTTTCAATGAATTATTTAGGACCTATGTGCACTAAAAAATTAAGAACCCTATTGTTCTATCTGCTGAATCTGGCAACCTAAAATTATTAACTAATCAAGTGGCCTGCAAACAACACATAAATAAAATAAAAGCTCTGGGAAAAAAAATTTCTTTACATATCTTCTCAGAGAAGCAGAATTTTCATTGTTCCTATTTACTCTGCAGAGAGGATGAGTGGCTGAGGTATGTTGTACATCTTTTTTTGTTGCTGCTGAGGATGGAATCTGGGTGCTCACACCTGCTAGACAAGAGCTCTTACCAATGAGCTACATCCCCAGATCATATTAATATTGTGCTATATACAACCAAACAAGACAATTTTTCTTCTTTGTCCACAATACAAATCTTAACAAAACTCACTTGCTCACACATTAGTGCTACTGGGTTATTAATACAGCCATTGACAATCTGGGGTCCTCTTCCCACTGTGACACCTTTAAAAGATTTATCATCCCACACTCGGCCTCCGATTCTGTCTTTGGCTTCCAGGATAGTTACCTAAAAAGACAAGCAGTACATCTAAGCAGGACAAAACGGTCACAACAGGTAGAGTGCGTCACAAAATGCAGAACAACGGTGTTGTTACTTCTATAATCTATTATATTTCTCAAGATGCGACTTTAGTTGAGTTTGAACAGAAGCCAAAGCAGATGCTCAGAACAATTCTGAATCTGGTGAGAAGAACCTGACTGCTCTGCTGGAGGAATCCTCCCAACTTTGTCCTCCCAAACCAGGCAATGACCAGATTTCACCAGCTAATACATGAAATGAACTTTGAAAGCTTTTACTAATAAGTGAAATGAAACTAGATTACAGAGCTGATTTTTTGTGAAATATCTATGCATACAGGAAAATTTCTTTAGCACTGCAAATAGGCCTTAAGTACCTGAGGCATGACTATTTTATTTTTTAATACCGGGGATCAAACTTGGGTCCTTGTGCTTGGGAGGCAGGTGGCAGAACCACTGAGTCAAATCCCCAGCCGTATTTTTTTTTAAACTATCCCACTGTGTATAGGGATGACCTCAGGAATCAGTCCAAGCAAATGAGCCTCACTGCCAGACTGTTTATCTTCTTCACATTTCTAGGACACAGGGAAAAGAAGTTGTTCTTATGGGGGACAGGCCACATCTCACCTTAGCCCTGGAATTCAAAGTGCCTCAGTTCCCTGGGTTTCATCTGCTGAAAATGTGTCTTTTTTTGTTTTGGTGCCAGGATCAAACTCAAGATCTTCTGCTTTCGAGGCAGGCAACAGAACCACTGAGCTAAACCCCCAGCCCAGCCCTTTCATTCTGGATCCCAAAAAGCACTACTGGGAATTGCTCGAGAAGGGTTAGTCATCTCCCGAGTTAGTCATTTCTTGGGCTACTCACAGGAATCTATCTCTGTTTCCCAACCTTCATGGGAATGGATGGTCCCCCAGCTGTCTCCCTCATTGCTTGACGAGAGTAACAACACCTGAACACTTCCTACGACTAGGAAGGCTACAATTTGTCATTCCTCACTCCCCAACCCCTTACTGTGAATTCAGATAAACACAACCATCTGTTTCTCCCTCTTCCCCCTAAGAGGAAGGCTAAATGTGAAAGATAACTTCTATAGGCTTCAAGAATTAATAACCCTCCCTGCAATATATTCTGTAGGTTTCCCAAGTAAACACAACCAAAAAATGTTGGCCCTACTATCTGCTATTAAATAAATAATCACTTAAAATATTTCCTGATGGGGGCCACTCTACATAATTTTGGGGAAAAATCATTTCACAGTTAAAATATGATTAGGCCTAGTCTTCTTGCCTACAGGCCAGCTATAACATGCTGAAACATAACTCCATTTTTGCCTCTGGTTACAGCTGAGACCTCAATGGTCCCATGATGCTGTGACACTCAAAGGCAAGATTACATTAGCTGAAGACTTCCTGGTTCCTTGAGGACCCAGTAATGAGAGAAAAGTTTCACCTGGAGAGGGACAGATTCGTCATTAGCTCAACTCATCCCACCTACTATTTTAAGAACGTCTTTGTCCTAATCAACTTAAACTCCTCATCAACCTAAGATCCTCATGGTCATAGGATTACTACTACCCTCTGAGACATCTGATACTTCCTCTGATTAAAAGATTCTTGACAGTTTAGGATCACTGCTGTCCTCTGAGTCATCTGTTACTCCCTATGAACCCAATAAATAGTGGCAAGCTCAGAGTGCCTTGTCTTTCCTGCCCAGAGTGGCACTGATCAGGCCCAGAACCCAGCTTCTTAAACTTTAAGTCTCATTTCCTGTCTTTATTCTTTAATTTACCTTGTGCTGTCATGGCTCACAAGAGACCAGGACCCAGTGCAGGGGTTCTGGTAACATCCCCTTTCCCTGTTCCCTACAACTTCCTAGTTTAACACCACAAAGAAAATATTTCAAAAGCAAGCACACTTTCTATAAATCAAACTCAGACTCCTGCTTTGCCAACAATATAATGCAATCCTCACATGGGATTTTCTGTCCAACCAGAAAAATCTCTCTTATCAACAGCTATGGGAAACTTTTCTCAGAAATGTGTTCTCAAAAACCTTCCCACAGAGAAGATGATATGAAAAACAAAGCATCACTTCTTTTAGGCAGAGAGAGAACAGTGAAAAGTCAAATGCAATTCTACCAAAGTTCTTGAAAATTAAGTTTCAACAAGGAGATATATCTCAGAACTAGCAAATCAAAAAATCTAGGTGATAGGGCCAAGGATTTAGCTCAGAGGTTCCATCACATGCCTCAAAAGCCCAAGGACCAAAGTTCAATCCCCAGTTTAAAAAAAAAAAATCTAGATTTAATGGAACTTAGATATTGACTCACACAATTTTTTGTGTGTCATGGGCTCTATTTTGGCCAGTTGTGAACAAAATAATAAAAAAACTGGCAACTGCCAGAATATTTGCTTTTGGAAGTAGTTAATCAGTTCTTTGGATGAGATAGAATTATATGGCTTTTGTAGTATTACAGTATTTAAGGGCAGTAATACTACAAAAGCCATATAATTCTATCTCATCCAAAAAACTGATTAACTACTTCCAAAAGCAAATATTTTTCTTTTCCAGACTAAGATTTACAGCATATCTTTGGTTTGCACCAGAAAAACTAACTGGGTATTTCAGAAAGTTTTATCTAAGAACTGGTGAATTTCCAAGCTATATTTGTCTCACACTATCTCCTCTACTGTGTTAACCATGATCTGTCAAGAACTTCTGCTTTAATGTCAAGTTAGAATTTCTCCTGACTTGCTCATGAGAGTCTAAAACTATCTGAAGCTGTGAGAATTTCGATCTTTCTCTATCTTCCTTTTGTTAAATCAATTTGAAATGCAGTAACTTTTCTAGGATCTGTTGTAAAGACATAATGCATTTAATATTCTTCATTAAAATTAGGATCTGGTTTCTAAGTGTTAGAAAATTTGGATCAAAGGAACAATTAACCATCTGTTTCCACCTACACATCTCCAAAATCTTACCTTAATTCCAAAGTTATGCAGTTGCCTAGCAGCTGCTAACCCTGCTGGACCAGCCCCTACAATGATGACTGATTTCTGCAAAAAAAACAAAACAGAACAAAAACACCTGTAATGAGAGCAAGGATGACAATGTATTGTTGTAGTTACTCTGGAAGGTACTGACTTCCAGGCAACATTAGCTCATCTGCGTTTCTCTGACATCCTTAGAAAGTTCTATTGCTGAAGAACACGAAGTATTCGTGGTAGTACTTTTACCACCACCACTTTGTTTTTCCTGCAGTCTGGAGAAATTGTACTTGATATTCTCCTCTTTGGAGAAATGTATTCTACACAATTCTTGTTTATATAAGTCTTATGGTGATGTGGTTTTTACTAGTATTGCTAACAGCAAACACCCTGGTATTTTATCATGACCAATGGCAATGATATTACTGAAAACAGTCACCTACATTGTGATAGTCTTTAGGAAGAAGATACTGGTCGGCTCCCACAGTAAGAACTCCTGTGTTGATGAGGCCTTTCCTCGTCATAAAATAAAGTATCCTCTCCACTTCCTGAACACACCGAATGCGCACGAGACCCCGGACGATGATATGAGGAATACATTTCTGAGGAGTAAGAGCTTCCTGTGTGTGGAAATGAAACCAAATTGTTTAAAAAAAAACCACCTCAAGGAGTTCAAATAAACAGCAAGAAAATCCCAACTAAAAAATGGAAAAAGTAGGAGCTAGGACAAGGGATGAGGCACTGACCTGGATCCCCAAAACCACAGAAGAAAGCAAGGGGCAAAGAACCTAAATAGACCTTTCTCAAAAGACATAGAGGTGGCCAACAAGTGTATGAAAAAAGTGTTCAACATCACTGAGGACCAGAGAAATAGAAAGTCAAACTATAATGATACAGCACCTCGTTAAATGGCTATTATCCAAAAGCTAAAGAAGACTAGTGATACAACTGCCTAACATGCACAGGGGCCTGGCTTGATCCTCAGCATGGGGGCTGGGGTGGGGGCTCTGGGCAAGTGCTGGTAAGATGTGAAAAAAAGGGCACCTTTGCATATTGATGGTGAAAATGTAAATTAGTACAACGGTGATGAAAACAGTATGGAAATTCCACAAAAAGGGCCAGGAATTTATCACAGTGGTTCTGCCACCTGCCTTGCAAGCCCAAGGACCTGAATTCGATCCCCAGTACCAAAAATAAACAAACAATAGAGAGAAAGGAAATTCCACAAAAAAATTAAACTACCATGGGATCTAGCAATCTCACTACAGGGTATATACCCAAAGGAAACAAAATCAGTATGTCATTGAGATATCTGTATCCCTACATTCCTTGTGGCATTACAGTAGCTGAAACATGAAATCAACTAAGTGCCCATCAACTGATGAATGGATAGTGAAAAAAATACTATATTTACACAATGGAATGTTATTTGGCCTTAACAAGGAAGGAACTCTTGTGTCCTTTGCCATAACATAGATAATTCTAAAGGACCTTACATTAAATAAAACAACCAGGGAAAGAAAGGCAAATCCTCCATGATCTCATTTACATGAAGAATCTAAAAACTGAATTCACAGAAGTTGAAAGCACGTGGGAACTCACAGGGTGGGAAGTAAGAAAGTGTAAGTCAAAGAGTAAAAACTTCAGTTAAGAGAAACAAATTCAACAGATCTATTGTGTAACAGTGACAATAATTAATAACATATATGTACCCGAAAAATCACTGAGAGTACATTTTTTTATGTTCTCACAAAAAACATGTAAGCTTTTGCATATATTAAACAGCTTGACTTAGCCATTCCATAATATTTACAAATTTCAAAATGTCATGTTATATACCATACACAGATATAATTATTTTAAAATAATTATAAGTACTAAATTCATAAGTAAATTATTATTTTTTAAAATCTTGGTTCCTCACAAATTATGATCTATCTAGTCATAATTATTTTAAAATAATTATAAGTACTAAATTCATAAGTAAATTATTATTTTTTAAAATCTTGGTTCCTCACAAATTATGATCTATCTAGTCATTCCACTCCTTGGCATATATCCCAAAGAAAATGCTCATAGCAAAAATATTCAAATGGCCAAAAAGTGAAAACAATGCACTATACATGAATGCATGATCAAAATGTGATATATCTACACAACGGAATATTATTCCATCATAAAGTGGAATGACACTCTCATACATGTATGGATAAGGCTTGAAAACATCACACTAATTGGAAGAACTACTTACAAAGGGCCTAATATTATATGATTCCATTTACATGAAATATCTGGTATGAAAGTATATTAGTGGCTACAAAGGCTAGGCCTGGGTGGGAATGGGAAGTGACTAGGTAAGAGATTTCCTCCTGGGATAATGAAAAGCTCCGGATCTAGACAGCAGTGATGGTTGTACCACACTGTATATGCACTTAATGCCCCAGGATTTCATGTTTCACAATGGTTAGAACAGTAAAGTATTACATATATTTTACAGTAATAATAATAATACTCTAAGAATAACACATCCAATATTTATCACTAATGAAAAAGGAAGGAAGGTTTTTCTGGTTGAGAATAAAAAAAGAAGAAAGGGACAAATGAATGATGCAGTAATTTACACTGCAACCTAAGTGTCCCCTCACAGAGAATGACTGCTACAAGGAACCTGAGGGTAGAGCACGTCGCTTTCCCAGCTCAAAGGTCACTAGAAATCCAGGTTCCTGCAGCAGGCAAAGGTGGCTCTCTCACTACTAGGAACAGGCAGAGCTACCAGTTTAGAACCTACACCCTCTTTAGTTGCCCAGCTTTGGAAAGATACTGGCCCATTTCAGTTCAGCCCAGAATGTGTCATTTAGAACAGGCACCAGGGGGTTACTCCCCCAACTCCAGGCTTGTCCCCTACTTGTCACCAACCCCCCACTCCGCCAGGCTGATTAAACACAAGTAGGTGACTACACACTTAAAGGGTTCAAGAAATAACATGCAGTGTCAGCGTGGACTGCTGCAAAAGGTCAATGTTTGTATTCATGAAATTTAAACAAAATCATTGCAAAGTCTTCAATTATTTTACAGCAAGTATGTTTCTCCACTAGAGAATCAATATATATACAACAAATACTATCTTCCTACTAAAAACACAAACACATCCAAACTAATTAGGACCTTTTCTTTTAGATATTATTAGAAATGAGTAGTCACCTTCCTGGGTATAATTCACATGAATTGCATCAAAAGACATAACTTAATCATCATCTCATATTGCATTCTAACCTAGTAAAATATCAGGGTAGAGTGGCATATTTTTCTTTAATCAAGACTACTTTTGTAGTCCTGCAGTGTTCTACTTTCAACTCAAACAACTAAATAAATCAATCAGAAAAATACTTGGGCCAGGAATCCATTTTTATTTAAAAATGAACAAATAAAACTATTCCCATACCCTCCCAAGTCCATTATTTTCCCCCATTTTGAGGTGAGGACTCTGGGGGATCCTAACAATTATTTAGTCTCAACAGAGAGAAAAGCAATGATCTTCATTCACTCAGAACACTGAGATGAATTAAACTTATTTCCTGCTGTCAAGGATTTATAACTTAATCTTTTGTTTTTCCCCTGCTATTGCCACCAGAAGTCTCTGAACCAAACTTTGAGCCTTACCCTCACTCCCTAGAGTTAGCGTTCTGATTGCCTTTGGTTTAAGGTGATGGTTCTCAACAAGGGGTGACTCTATCCCCTTTGGAAATGTCTGAAAACATACTGCGTGGGCATCCCTACTCCAAGAATCTGAAATCTGAAAATGCTCCAAAGTCTGTGTGTTGACACAGTGCTCAAAAAGTTTCAGATTTTGGGGCCGGGAATTTAGCTGTGGTTCCACCACCTGCCTCGCAAGCACAAGGTCCCAAGTTTGGTCCCCCATAACAACAACAACAAAAAAGTTTCAGATTTTGGAGAATCTCAGATATTTTGGATCAGGGATATTTAACTGGTAAAGACTACACGAATACAGGAGCTAGGGATTGAGCTCAGTGGCACCTCGCCTGCTACGCAAGTGTAAGATCCTGAATTCCATCCCCAGTACCGGAAAAAACAAAAACAAAACAAAAAGACTACACAAATACTCTAAAATCTGGGGGGAAAATCTGCAACATTTCTAGCCTAGAGCATTTTGGATAAGGGCTACTCAACGTGTATTTGGCTGTCCCAACTGGGAAGTGTTTGGTATCTAGTGGTAGAGGCCAGGGTTGTTGCTAAATGTCTTACAATGCACAGGACAGCATCTCTTGCTCCCCAAGAATTATCTGCCCCTATTGCCAAGGCTGCTGTAAGGTTCCATCCCTGCAACAAAGTCTCTGCTTCAGTGAAGTGCTCCGCTCGCATTCACGGCCAGCACAGCCTCACTTACTTTGCAGTTTGTGTACCACAGGGCGAGGATGAGGTTCCTCAGAGCCAGGTACATGGTGGGGTCTCGGGAGTACTCAGGAAACTCATAGAGTTCATCCAGTTCCATCACGTCGGGCCGCACACACAGGGCCTTGCCACACTCATTGGGCTGGTAGAAGGGCTGGAAGTACCGATTCATGCCTGGAACTGAGAGCAGACACAACAGGACCTCCTGCAAACCACAACCTCCAACTTTCAGAGAATCAAAGAGCAAATGCAACACAAGAAGGGTAGCCTGGACGATCTCTACCTCTATCCTGCACAAACACTCGCTTCTTCCATCCAAGTGGGCAATTTGCACATGGACAAAACATTTTCCCCACTCTCTTTCAAGTTATCCACACCCTTAATTTCCACAGTTGGGAAATTTTAAAAGCAATTTTTAACTGTGATGAAAATGTACATCATAAAGTTTACTGCCTTAACCATTTAAAGTGTAAGTATATTCCCACTGTTGTGCAAACAGGTCTCTAGAACTTTTTCATCCTGAGACTAAAACTGTAGCCACTAAACAACTGCTCCTCATGGAAAGGTACTTCCAAAGTAACTTCTTCTTTGGCATTTTCCAAATGTAAAATGGCATAATCACTGTGTCCCAAGGATGGGCTTACATGTTAGGGGCACTCTGTCCCTCTACTCAGAGAATATTAATATAAAGCTGGGGGAAATGCTATAAAAGTTTTTTTTGATACTGGGGATTGAACTCAGGACCTTGTGCTTGAAAGGCAGGTGTGGTGCCACTGAGCTAAATCCTTTAACTTGCTTTTTAAAACTTAATAATATCATAAACATTTTCCCACGTCAATGAACAATTTCAATGGCTACTTAATATAATGCTGCTATAATAAGCAATGCCAAAGCAAATTTCTTTACCCACAGATTCTTGACTCACTCAATTATTCAGGATACCTTCCTACAGGGCCAATAGGGATATCTGCTGAGTCAAAGAGAGTCTATTTTAAGGTTTTTGACGCACACCGCCAAACTGTCCTTCGTAAATGCACACTCTCACTAATGGAATTTCAGTGCTATTACGCCACACCTTCCTTAACCCTAAGAATTACCACCCCTGATCTTTACATGTACATTTTAAGAGGGTCAGGTGTTATTAGTTAGAAACTGTAAGACAGGGCTACAATGTAAAAAATCTAACTGCACCATCAAAAACGCAATCTGTTCATGTACAGATGGTACAAGATACAGGATTTTAAAGCTTCCTTCTTTTACAGTCAACAGTCAGCAACCTGAAGTTCTGAATTCTGAGAGCTGGTCATCAATGGCATTAGAGGCAGAGAGAAAAAAGTACTGCTCATACAGTTCAAAAGTTTCTTCTGATAAGTCAGAGTTCCTATACTCATTAACTTTTATAGTTATCCAACTTTCAATTCAACACTCATTAAATCCTATAGATAATTAATCGATGAATGTTATGTGTTGTCTAAGTGAAGCAGGCAGTAGCACCACTGAGCTAAATCCCCAGGCCCATAGGTTGTCTAACTTATTGAGGGAAAACTTAACTGCACAATACTGGTGATGGGACTGACGTACAGCACAGTCGTCATGCCCCGGTGTCCTTGGGCAACTAGTCGAGGACCTCCCAGGGATCAAACTCCCTGGCTGCTCAAGTGCCCTATAAAAGATGGCTCAGTATTTATATATAACCTAGACACAGCCTTCTGCATACTTCTAATCATCTCTACATTACTTCTAATACCTAACGATACAGATGCCACGTAAATAGTTGTGCTGTATTGTTTAGGGAATGGTGACAACAGAAAGCCTGTTTATGTTCAGTACAAACACAGTTTTGCTCCCAGACCTTTCCTATTCAGCAGACTGGTTGAATCAGCAATGTGTTGTGGATGTGGAGGACCTACTACATAAACAAGCACATGAAATAATGAGCTGCTTTATACAATGACTTGAACATTTTTTAAAAAATCTTTTGCCTTTTGCTTTCTCCTACATTTGTCAGGGAGGAGCAGGGTGGAAAGGAGGGAAGACCAGGACAGCTCTCACCTAGCACAGAAGGGACCACCTTGGAGGGCTCCGGCCTCCCCGGGCTGGCATCGCCAGTGGTGGCCACGGTGGCTGCGGTGGCGATGGCAGCGGCGGCAGCGCGGTTTGTGCTGGTACAGGAGGGACTCATGCCTACGCAGTCAGGGTAGTAGGCAGAGAGCAGAGGCGCTGCCACGCTGTCTTTCAACAAAGGAGGCAGGATGAGCATGGAGTACCACCAGTGGTTGGAAACTTCCGACACTCTCTGAAATTCACCCGCAGAGGCAGGGAGACAAGGGCAGAGAGGAAATACACACACGCATTATGCCAAAGACAGGCACTTATCTTCATTTCATTCATCCTTAACCCTAATACAGTGCCTCTTCCCTCAACTTACTTAATTCCGTATGAGTTCTGCACACACAGGTTTAAAAACAAAAATGGCTTAGGATACTTGAGAGACAATGTTTCCCAGGAAAAATTCTTACCAGTATTCAGACTCCCCTCCCAAATTATCCCACTAGGTTAAGTCTTTCAAAATGCACCCATGTATTACATTGTTAGGCTGTATGCAAGTCTGAGTGAAAAATGTATCTCTGTGCCATAACCCTTTATCATCCAGCTCCCCTTTTCATGTGGAATCTCAAGATAAATGAAACTGAAAAAGTGGACCTAAAAAAAAATTATCCTAAGCAGCTGTCAAGCATGAGTTTTTTTGTTTGGGTTTTTTTTTTAAGCATTACTGCTTTTTGCCAAAAACTACTGAAAAAAGTTGGGAGGGAAAAGTACACTACCACCAGCCAACGGCAGAAAGAAACAAAAGAAGCTATCTCTGGTCTTCAAATGTGTAATCACATTCTAGGGGTGACTTAAATGTGGATCAAAGCACACTATAGTGACTACTGCAATAAAAATAAAACACGTGGCTTCTAAAACAACACTACCCCAAATGCCTAGGTTAGTCAGTCTTTGCTCACTAAAATGCACTCTTAAATGTATGCTCCAAGAATACTCAGACTCTGATACAGAACAGCCTCGAGCCCAGGGACTCTGCTGCTAGTTCTCCAGGCTCCAAGCAAATGCCATTTGCTGTCAAGCAAGCTTGTGAACTTGTAATCTAAGTGTGAATCCGGTTTGGAGATGCCTTCTGTTTGCTTTTCAGAGTCCAAATCGGGAACATATTTCAGTTTAGCACAAGCCCCAAACAGCACCCATATAACATACATCCAGCTGCTTCACACACTCATCTCACTTGTCCAAGCCTCTGGTGGCAACTGTGTCTGCAAAACCTGCACCCTCACTGCTTGTTGTATGTTGGCCCACCCTTGACCAGCCCACGCTGCACTCAAATAGGTGCACCAGCTCCTTCCCCAAAACACCAGGCCCAACTCTACCCACTGCTGCCTTCCTAGCTTGGACTCAAGGAAACAGCAACAGTATTCAGCTCCTGACATTTGTACCACACTATGTAGAGGGCAGGTCCCTGGAAAACCATGAATCCAGTCTGTTCCTATTCATTTCCAATTCCTATGTCATGCGGCTCAGGAGGGAAACTGAGAGAACCAAGAGAAGTCCTGCCATCGTACTGTGAGCCCAGTTTTCTCTCTAGAGCCTACCTGAGGGTGCTCCAACCCAACTCCTGTGTGGTGTAGGAGAAACTAGCAATGACTATTACACTAGCACTTGCTCTTGCTAGTGAGTCACCAATCCCAGATTCTTGGTTATAATGTGTCAATATGCCAACAAAAATCTCACTCTTACATACATCACTGAACAAATTATAATCAATATAAGTGATTTATTAACATATTTAATCAAATACCCATTGTATTAGCTTATTGTTCCCCCAAAATTCGGTCCACTATGAACCTCAGAATGTGACCTAGGCCAGGCAAAGTGGCACACACACGCCTGTAATCCCAGCACTGGGGAAGCTAAGGTAGGAGGATTTCCATGAGTTCAAGGGCAGCCTGCACTGCACGGCAAGAATCTCAAAAACAACAGCAGCAGCAGCAACAGCAAAATCAATAAAAAAAGAAACAGGGTCTTTACAGACGTTAGTGGTTATGACCAGGTCATACTGGATTAGAGGGAGCCCTAAATTCTCTGTAACTAGGGTCCTTAAGTGAGAAGAGATACAGATACAGATATTGTCTCCATAATATAACTATTGCCAGATCTGACAATACAGTTACCATGCTCAATTGAAAAGTCAGCAACCAAATAAACAGAAACTCACAAAGTGTTACCCTCATTTGCTTAGAATACTTAACATCAAAGACAATTAACTCCAATCCAGAATGCACAGAAATACTCACCAGATCCTCAGGCAGGGAACAATGATCCGAGTTCTCAGGCTGCAAAAGAAAACCAAGCATTAATTAGGTTCGCTTATAAGATTAAGCATCTTAAGTAACAACTCACCTTCAATATGATATCTCTTTGAACCCATTACATGGGCAAAGAAAAAAACTGATAAATCACTATATGAGTGAGGGTTTGGGAAGACAGGTACACTGGATCCTGGACTTATGAACTTAATTTGTTCCCCAAGGGCTGGTTTTAACTCAAGTTGATCAAGTTAAGGCTAAGGCTCCTCTACACAGCCTTCAAAGATCTATACACAGGCAGATCTCAGTGTCTTTAGAGAGACACTGGCCCAGGATTTCTCCATTAAACCCACAAAGGAAAGGGTGTTGTCATGTTCCCTCCAGAACACTTTAAGGGTTAAATCTGTATTTGAGACCATCTGGAAGCACAAGTGGCCAGCATCTAGGTCGTAACTCAAGATTTTGGTTGTAAATTAAAATTAAAATTCTGGTCATAACTCAAGTTGTTTGTATATCAGGCCAATAGTAATTCAAGGGCCCACTGTAGTTTGTGTGTTTGTTTTTTAAGACAGGCAATTTCATTAGGATGTTCCTAATTAAAATACATATGAATATATATGTGAATGTTATGAATGAAGGAATATAACCACTGAGGAGAGGAATTTGACAAAATATCAACATTCTAAATGCACTTTTTTGGCACTATCTTGAATAACTGAAGATGTATACAGAACAAACTCAGCAATTCTAACCTTGATATATTTTCCAAAAACTTGTAACATGTCACCAATAGACATATTTTAAAAAGTTTTAAAAAGATCACTGTTTCTTTTTTTTGGGGGGGTGTCCTGGGGATCAAACTTGGGACCCTGTACTTACCAGGTGGGCAAGCAGCACCACTGAGCTAAATCCTCAGCCCCCCTTGATTTTGATTTTGGTTTAGTATATGGTCAGAGATATGGGCCTAAATTTAAACGTCTGCATGAAGATAGCAAATTTTCCAAGCACCATTTACTAATGAGGCTATCTTTCCTCCTCCAGTGCATGTTTTTGGCCCCTCTGTCAGAGACTGAATAGCTGAATATGCCCAGGGTTATTTCTGCATCCTCTATTCTGTTCTACTGATTCATCTGCCTGTTTCTGTGCCAGTACCGTGCTAGTTTTATCACTGTAGCTTTGAAATACAACCTCCAATTCAGGGTTATAATGCCTCCTGCTTTGCTATTCTGCTTCTCTTCTGGTTCCATATGAATTTTAGATTATTTTCTCCAGTTCTGTGAAGAATGCTGTTGATATTTTCATTGGGACTAAATCTGCATTGTCAGTTTTAGAAATATGGCCATTTTGAATATTTAGGTTCTGCCTATCCAAGAACAGGCCCTATCTTTGTATCTTCTGACATCTTCTTTGATGTCTTTTTTCAGAGTACTGTAGTTTTCATTATAGAGGTATATCACTTCTTTGGTTAAATTAATTCCTAATAATTTTTCTTCCTGCTATTGTAAATGGTATTGTTTTCCTAATTTCTTTCTTAGTAAGTTCATTGTTGACAAACAGGAACACTACTGATTTTTGTTTGTTGATTTTGTATCCTGCTACATTACTGAATTTGGTTATTAATTCTAGGAGTCTTTTGTGGAAATTGTTGGATGTTATCATTTGACTTCTTCCTTTCCTATACACATCTCTTTTATTTCTTTCTCCTGCCTGACTGCCCTGGCTAATGTTAGGAGGATTATGTTAAACAAGAGCAGTGATAGCAGACATCCTTGTCATGATTCTGATTTTAGAGGGAAAGCTTCCCATAATATTAAATGAAAAAAATTAGACAAGCTTAAATATCAGTTTCTCTTATACAAGAATCCTAAAATATAAATAAAAAGCAAAATAAAAGCTAGATAATAGGATGTAGGGAGAGAGATCTTTTTCATATGGGAAGATGGAGAGATGGGTAAGGGAGGTGAGAGGAAAAGGATGAAAGAGTTGAGATGTGTCACACACATGTGCCACTACAAAAAATAAACACTGAAAAAATTGGCATCAACAGAAAGCTCTTTACTGCAGCTCAGCTACTAATGATAAAATGTCTAGAAGTTACCTAATTGCCTTTGACAGTGCCAAATTAGACACAGTATATCTGTTTGGTGGACTACTAGAGACATGGAAGAAAAAAGAAGAGACCTTTACATGTGATATGGAAGATTATGACTACTGAAATGACAAAATGCAAGATCTACAAGAAGGTGCACAGTGTATTCCCATTCTCTTTAACTAATAATCCTTCCTCAACTTTGTTCTTAACAGCAAACCCAGATGGATACCAAAATGACTCTAGGTCAATGAACATCAAGCACAAGGTCCTGAGTTCAACCCCCAGTACAGGAACAAAATAATAACAATAAATAAATATGTCAAAAGTTCAGCATATGGCAGGTGACCATTCAGATGGGAAGAACAGGATGAAGAGGTCTCAAAGGAGACAAAGGGGATAAAGGAAAGAGATTTAAAGGGGTCTGATTTTATTCTTAGAAGCTGGAACCAAAGGAGACCATAAAGGTTTCATCTGTAAGGTGGCATGAGAAGAGAAAGCAGTTCACTTTTCAAAAACTTAAGGAAGCTGACACCTCTGAGGTCCTCCTGGAAAAAAAGCACTTGATGCTAAAACACATCCAACCAGGTGACAAAACAAAATAACAAACTCAGGACAGAAGGACCATGGTAAGAGACAATGAATCCATTAGCTGCAGCAGTGAGCAGAAACAATGGAAGGAATACAGATATAGAATGAAAATAATAAAAGCTCTGATCACCTAAAAAAAAAAGAAAAACACCTAAATGAAATTTAGGAGAAGGGAAAACAAGGAGGTAGGCTGAAGTATGACAATTTCCCCTTGACTTCATGGCAGTGTGTCAATCAAAATAATCTAAAATAGAAACACGATCTTTTAAAAAAGTTAAGAGTGATTCCCACTTCTTAATATTCTCTTATTTTCTAAGGAGATTTTAGCAACTCCTTTTTGGGGTGAAGAAATAATCATTCTATGTTTAGTGATTCTTATGTCACCTCAGCTTCTTTTTCTAAGTTCGCTTAAAGTCAACCATTTTGAAGGAAACCACATATACCGTACTGTTCCTTAACAGGAAGTTATTGGCCAACCACTCCTCCCAGCAGGCCTACAGGAATGCTCCTGAATGAATCTCATATGATAGCGGTTATTTCAAGATAACGACTGCATGAATTTTTGGCAATTATTTCTATTCTTCTCTGTATTTCTTGAATTTTTCAATGATGAGCCCACATCATTTACCTAAAAACAAAATTATTCAAAAGCAAACCTTAGTTTTTAAAAACTACATAGGCTGGAGAATCAGAAAGAACAACTGCCACCAAAGGGTAACAAAAATAAGGCAAGTGGATAGTCTGGACAATTAGTAGAGAGGAAGTCAAAGTCATATATTAAATTATTAGAAGGCAAAGGAGAGGAGAGATTACAGGAACTCCAAATGAGAGTTCAGTCAAGGCAGAGAACAAAATGTAAAACCATATCTAGTAATATAGTAACCTAATACCACAGAAGTCATCCAAAATCTGTTGTAACGAACTGTTTAGAACTGAAACACTGCAAAAATAGGCTGTATGGAAATAGATCAAAGACTATTAAAGTAGTCTGCTATTTTTGACTGTTGCTTAGCTGAAGTCTCCTTTAAATACAATGAAATGCCAGTGAATGTACTTTTCACTTGAGAAGGCATCTGGGAAGAAAAAAAAAAGATAAAACAAAACATAAAAAAGAAAGTGACAGGTGCTGGTTAAGTGCATGCAACCATGACACGGTTTCCGCTGGCTGGACCTGGTCCCTGTGCCACACAAGCCCCAGTGTCTCCACCACTCAGACCCCCTTCCCTTTAGTACAGAGACTGGGCCTCTACTGCCCCCTCCCATTTTTTTCTCTTCTGACCCCCAGGAAGCCTTCTACCTTGAAGGGGTCAAGGTTCAATCAAATTCTTGAAAGTCACTAAGAATCAATGTTAAGTACTCTCATCGCAGAACATAAATGTATGGGGCAATGCATATGTTAATTAGCTCAATTTGGCCATTCCACAGCATGTACCTGTTTCAAATCAGTATGTCCTACTGGGACCATTACATACATATAATTTTCACCGTCAATTAAAATTAATAAGCTTATTTTAAAAAAAGAATCCAAGGCTTGTGAAAGATTTCACAAAAAGTCTTAAACAGTTCCAGGAACTTGGTCTCAGGCTCAGATCTGAACTTTCTATCCTTCACTGCCAAATTACCAACATCAAGAATCAAAGAGGCCCACAGGCCTGGTGGTACACACCTAGAATCCCAGCACTTTGGGAGAACTCCAAGTTCAAGCGCACAGAAAACTTAAGAAATAAAAGGGATTGGGACATAGCTCAGAGGCAGAGCATTTACAGGTTTGATCCCAAGTACCATGAAAAGAAACAAACACATTAAAAAGGGAAGTTAAGGGTACTGCTCACCCTGGGTTTGATTCTCAGTACTCAAAACAAAAAGGAATAAAAGAGATACAGGCATATCACCACAAAGTCCACTGTCATTTAAAGGAGAATAAGGGAACAGTACAAATAAATTCAATAAATTTGACAATGTAGATGAAAACCACAAGCTCCTTGAAAAACCTTCCAAAGACAGACAGAGCTCATAAACTACCTAAATCACCATAAGGCTGTTAAAGAAACTGAATCTGTAATTTCTAAACTTCTTATAAAGAAAACTATTGGCCCCAAAAGCTTGACTAGTAAAGAAAAAAAGACAAAACAAAAAGAAGTAACATCAAGTTTATATAACAAATTAGCTGACAAAATAGAAAGTACACATTTCCCTGCTCATTTTTATAATAAAGCCAGCACAGCTTTGATAACAGAATCTGACAATGATATTGTAAGAAAAGTGCCAGGTAATATCCATCATGAACATAGATGCAAGAAAGGGTAACAAAATGTCATAAAATCCCACAGTGTATAAAAAGACAGCACACTGGGAAAAAGGATATTTTTCTGGAAATGCAAGGTTGTCTCAACATTCCAGAATCAGTGTAACCCACCAAATTAGCAGATTAAAGGAATAAAACCTCATGACTATTATAAAAGAAGAGGAAAACGTTTGATAAAATTCAACAAGCATTCATGAAAAAAAGCATCTGTGATAAAAGTTTTCAGCAGAGTAGGAAAACAAAGAAAGTTCCACAACTAGAGAAAGGTCATCTATGAAAACCTACAGGCAACATTACACGTAATAAGCACAGGACTGAACAAGTCCTCAAGGTCAGAAGCAAGACAACATCTGCCTTCACCATGTGGCCAGTGTTCCTGCCCAAGGCAGGAAGGCAAAAAAAAGAAATGAAAAAGACCAAGGGGAAAAAGAGATAGTCTTTACTCAGAGTTGATATGTCTGGTTTGCTGACAACACAAAGGAAACTACAAGATTTATGGAATTTAATAAGTGAAGTTCAAAATAGTCTCTAGGTGTAAGGTCAGTACACAAGTATATTTCTCTATAACTGAAACAAACAACTTGATGTTAAATAAAATTCTACTTACAATTACAGAAAAAATATCTAGAAAAAAATACAATGAAATACAAAAATAACATCCTCAGTGAAAACTAGAAAACACTGTTGCAAAATATTAAAGAACCCTAGTACACGTTTTCTGAAAAGGACTAAGTATCTTATACTCTGTGTACCATATGGTCTCGGTCACAACTACTCTGCCAATGTCACATAAAAGCTGCTAGAGACACTGCATAATGAGACCAGCTGTGTTCCAATAAAACTTTATTTACAAAAACAGGGGTAGGGCCAGATTTAACCCTGTGGATGTCGTTTGGTGACACCAGGTTAGAAGACTAAAAATGCAAAGATGTCAAGACTCCTGCAAATGATCTATAAAGTCAATACCTTCCAACCAACATCCCAGAGATTTTTAAGTAGATCCTGGCCAGCTGATAGTAAAATGGATATGGAAACACAAAATAGTCAAAATAAACTTGAAAAGAAAAACAACACTGGAAGAACTTATACTACTTGATTTTTACCATTAAATATAATGATACAACAAGCAAGGTAAGTGTTGGGTATGTCTAAAAAGAGGTCAGTGTAATAAAGTCCAGAAACAGACCTATATATATATATAGTTATTTTTTTATAACAGTAAGATTAGTCAAGAGGAAAATAATAATATTTTCAACAGATAATACTGAACAAGTAAATCTACATGGAAAAAATTTTTTCCTGTCCTTCACATCAAAAGCCAATTAACTCAAGATATGATTACTGACCTAAATATAATAGTTAAAACTGTAACTTGCCTCAAAGAAAACATACAATATTATCTGCAAGTAAAAAGTAGTCAATGGCTTCTAAGAAAAGGTTCAATGCAGAAATGAAAAACTGGATAATTTGGGCTTCGAAACTAAAAGTTCTTGTTCATGAAGACCAACTAATGCAAAGGCTATATATAGACTGAGAAAACATTCAAAATACACATACATTCATATCTGTATAAAGAACTCCTACATATCAATAAGACAAGTCAATTATCTTTAAATGGACAGATAATTTCCAAAGGGGAACTGTGAATGGTGAATAAACAGGAAAAGACGCTCAACATATCACCAGTTATCAGGGAAGTGGAAGCTCATCCCACAGATGTCAGACATACCCACTATGCAACAACAAAAACAGCCACAAAAGATGCCACCACCAAAGGCTGCAATATGATGTAGCAACCACAGGACATCATTTGGCAATTTCTTAAACATCAAATAGAAATTCACCACGTGACTCAGCAAGTCCACTCCTATGTATTTACTGCTAACAAATTAAAAGAGGTCCACAAAAAGCCTGCACAGAATGTGCACTACAGTTTCCTTCATGTGCCAAAGAAAACAACACAAATGTCCCTTAAGATGAGAATGGTTAAATACAAATGTCCTTTAACATGAGAATAGTTAAACAATTTGTCACATGTGTGTGTACACACACAAACACACATACACGTGTGTGTAGGAAGGTACAATAACACAGATGAATCTGAAGTACAATTTTACTCAGTAAAGAAACCAAACATTAAAGACCATGTATATCAGCTGATTCCACTTCCATGAAGTGCAGAAGCTGAAAAATGAAGCTACAGGGACAGAAATCAGAACAGCAGCTGCCTCCAGGATGAGAAGAAAGAACTGATACTTGTCAGGCAGGGAAATATTGTATACACATTGTGGACATTCCCTACAACTCAAGGAAATTCACATGAGATCCCTGCATGTATGTGCAGTATGTAATCACACCTCAATAATAAAAAGGATCGGCCTCCTGCCTCAGAAGCACAAGGTCCTGAGTTGGATCCCCGAGACTAAAAAAAGAAAAAGAAAAAGAAGATGCAATTTTGCATCTATTAAAAATATTACCACTCAATGCAAGTGAGCTGTTGATATGATTACTCTGAATCACAGGACTTTACATGTTTAAAAAGTAGTTTGGCTGTTTGTATCAACAGCCTAGCATAAGTGTGTAATTAAATTCACTTCTAGTAGGGGACAGGGATGTATCTCAGTGGTAGACTTCTTTCCTAGCATAAGAAAGGCTGTGGGTTCAGTCCCCAGCACTAGGAAAAAAAAAAAAGTTTTGTAGAACAAATGAATCATTGAGAATTTCCTTATTAAAACAAGGAGGAAAAGGCTAAGACGAACTTTCAATTTTTATTGCATATTATATATGTATGTATACTTACATACATATATTCAATTTATTTTTAAAATCTTAAGATTGTATTAGTGTATACTTAACATAAAATTTACTTATGTTCAAATTTTATCCTCATTCTGCAAATTTTCTTTTTTTTTTCCAGTGTTGGGGACTGAAACCAGGTCCTTAAGCATGCTCAGCAAGGGATCTACCTCTGAGTTGTACCCTGAGGCCTCCATATTTTTAAAATAATAATTATGTGTTGCTTTATTTGAAACCCCAAGTTTTAAAAAATTTGATTATATACTTTATTTTGGATTTGTTTGTTTTTTTTTTTTTTTTTTTTTTTTTTTTTTTTTTTTTTTTTTGTACCGGCAATCAAACTCAGGACCTTGTACTTGCAAGGCAGGCAGCAGAACCACTGAGCTAAATCCCTGGCCCTGATCATATACTTTATAAAACTTTCCCTCATTCTATAAAAGGGAAATATTTGAATTAAGAAAGTATTTTTCTGGTAACGATTACCTATCTATGTTAATATATTACTACTGAACTGTATAATCCAAAAAGGTGTATTTTAGCTGGGCATGGTGACGCATATCTGTAATCCCAGTACTTGGGAGGCTGAGGCAGGAGGATAGCTTTGAGTTCAAGACCAACCTGGGCTACACAGTGAGTTCCAGGCCAGTCTCAACTACATAGTGAGACCCTGTCTCAAAAAACCAAAAGAAAAAATAAAAAAAAGGTTTATATTTTATGATATGTACATTGTTCCTAAATTTAAAAAAAAAGAAAGTACTTTTCTGGGATTTGATTTCTAATTATTTTTTAAAGTATTCAAAGTATGAGTGACATCTGTATAGATTAAGGCCTCTAATATATTGCTTAATTATGTATTTTAAAATACTAATTCCCAAATTTCAAAAGTGGCACATTATACCCACTATGGCTAATTTCAAACTGCCTAATCCATCCATTCATTGCTTTTTCCTAACAAGATTTGCCTTGTTTGGTGTTGCAACATGCTCAGCTATAAAATACTTCCTTCCTCTGTCCTGCCTGCCATCCAGAGTAGCTGTATGATTCTGTTCTACTTAAGGAAATATAAACAGAAATCTGAACTTCTAAGAAGACTCCTCTTTTTGCAATAAAATGGCAGACTAGCTGGCACACCTCTTTGGCCCTCCACCTTTTCACTCTCTTCTAAGAGAATAGTAAACCCTTAAGTGCATCACCCACTGTAACTGGGGTTTTGTTCCACTCAACACTGATACAATGATTAACACACTGAAATGAAAAAATATACCATTACTATATACTGACAATTAAATCAATGTATCAGTGAGTTCTAAAGGAATGCCACAGACAGCGTACCTTCATAGTATTTGGTTTCATACCACACCGGTAAGTCTTCGCTATCTGTGGAGTAAGCTGGATTTCCTTGGTAAGCTGTCTCCATTTCCTACACTCGGGTTTTGTACACTGCACCTAGAAGAGAAATAAGTCAAGATCAGCAAATTGGCTAATCCTGATCTATCATTTCTATCCTCCATCACTCACTCTGCCATCTGTCAATTTCTCAGTTTGACACGTAATCATGGTATGTGTGATAATGAATTAGGGGACACTGGGTGAAGGAAATATAGGAACCCTCTGTGCTATCTTTGCAACTTTCTGTAAATGTTAAATTATTCAAAAAATTAAAAGGCCGGGGATTCAGCTCAGTGGTTCCGCCGCCCACCTTGCAAGCACAAGGACCCGAGTTTGATCCCTGGTACCAAAAAAAAATTTTTTTAAGTTTTTTTAAAAGCATGTGAATATCCATATGCAGAAGAATGAAGTCACATCAACTTAACACAAGTAAAAAAACTAATTCAAAATGGATAAACACCTAAATCCTAAGAACTAAAATGATAAAACTCTTAAAAGGAACACAGGGATGAGTTTTTGACTTTGGATTTGGCAGAGGATTCTTAGTCATTATTCCCAAAGCACAAACAAGGGGGGGCAGCTAAATTTAACTTAATTAAAATTTAAAATGCTCATGCATCAAAGGGCACTAGCAAAGTGAAAAGACAACCTATAGAAAAAATATTTGCAAATCACACATCTGATAAAGAATAAGTGCCCAGATTGTGTAAGAATTCTTACAATTCAACAAAAAGAGAAACCACTCAAACTAAAAATGAGCAAAGGACCTAAATAGACACTTCTCCAAAAAGCATATGCAAATGGCCAACAAGCACAGGAAAAGATGCATTCACCAGTTATCAGGGAAATGCAAACCAAATCCAAAGTGAGGTACCACTTCACACGCACTCCGATGGCTAGCATAAAAAACCCAAACAAAAACTGGGGAGGAAGTGGAGAAATCTGAACTCTCACACTGCTCATGGGAATGAAAATGATGCAGCACCTACAAAAAAAAGAGTATAGAGGTTCTTCAAAATTTAAACACAGAATTACCATGGGAGCCGCCATTCCATTCCTATAAATATAGAACTAACAGGATTACAAACAGGCATTCAAACAAATATTCATAGATAAATGTTCACAACAATACTATTCACAGTAGCTAAAAGGTTGAAATAGCCAAGGATTTAGCAGAGTGGTGCTGCTGTCTGCCTCGAAACAGCAAGGTTACAAGTTCAATCCAAGGTACCAAAAAAAAAAAAAGAAAAATAGGTTGAAATAACTCAAATGTCTGTCAAAAGATGAATAGAAACAAAATGAGGCCTGTTATTCCAGTGGACTATTACCTATAAAAACAGTGAAACAGTGATATAAACTACAACAAGAATGAACCTCAAAACACATTGCACTAAGTTAAAAAAGGACCCACAGCCAGACGCATGACTTCATTTATTTTGTGTTTTTGTTTTTTGAGACAAGGCTGGCCTTGAACCCACTATGTAGCCCAGGCTGGCCTCAAATGCATGGCAATCCTCCTGCCTCAGCCTCCCAAGTGCTGGGATTACAGGAGTGCACCACCAGGTCTGGAACATGATTCAATTTGTATAAAACACCCAAAATATGTAAATACACACAGACTGAAAGTATATCAGCAGATACTGTCGTCTGGAGGTTGAGTGACTGTGGCATGGGTACATGGCTTCCATTGTGGGTGACAAAAATACTGTGGAATTAAACACAGGTAGTGAGTGGCTGAATAACACTGTGAATATAGTAAATGCCACTATACTGTACATTCTAAAATGGTTAATTTTAGGTCTTGGGGAATGGTCCAACAATAGCGCTTGCGCTACATACGTAAAGAAATATGTAATAAAATGGTTAACTTTATGTTACATGAACTTGATTTCAATTTCAAAAGTTTAAGTGTGCAGAGCAGCTCAGAATTAGTTACATTAAAAAGTCAGCAAATCATTCAGTTGGTGGTATATGTATATGACATATGCAACTACTAAAATATATTTTCAGTTAATGCCTAAATGAAAAAACAGTATGAAATTAGATCAAAAAACAAAGTTATTAAAAAACTATATTCTACGTATGATTTTAAACCCAATAAAGATATGTATACAAAACCACAAAATTGTTTCAATCAACACAACAATATGAACAATAAATTAAAAAAAAAAAAAAAAAAAAAGACTATTCCCAAAACCTGTATCTTCTCCAGAGGCATCACAGAAGAAAGCAGCATCATTTTTCTTACCCAATAAGGGAGCTGCTGGTCGGCCATGAATGCTTTGGGACTGGGTTCTGTTTTGCCGTTGCTGGTCCAAATTTTTTTCCACGTAGTATATTTGTCATATCCATCTTTATGGCTAAAAACAATAAAAAGAAGTGTACCGAGCTGTAAGTTAATCCAGGTTTCAAAACATGAAGCAAGCTCCTAAGTCTTACATGAAGGACTTTGTTAGCTTTGTTACAAGGAGGGAAGTTACTATGAGCTCCGTACAGCAGCCTGGCAGAGGGGTGCTCTCATCAGTTCCGATACCTAAAACTACAGGAGAGTTAGAGTATGACTAGAAGGAAGAGTTAGGAGTATTTTCAAATGCACACTGTAAATGCTCAGGCAGCCACTAAAAAGCTACATCAATAGATGAAATACAGCCATAAAATGCTCAATTAAAATCAGAGAAGATGAAAAAAGAGACAAAGAAAAAGAAAACTGTATCATAGAGGAAATAGCAAGATGATTTATTTTAATCCAACTATAAAAGTAATCACTTAAAATAACAGCAACACATAAAAGGGACTTGCAAATTAAACAACTTACTTTTTTTTTTTTTTTTTTTTTTTTTTTTTGGGTACCGGGAATTGAACTCAGGTCCTTGCGCTTGCAAGGCAGGCCACCAAACTGCTGAGCTAAATCCCCGGCCCTTAAACAACTTACTTTTAAATGATCTTGAAACAAAGAGAAAGACAAGGGAGATTAAAAAATATTATGAACTAAAAGAAAATGATAATAAAATTATTAAAATTTATGGAATAGTGTATAGCTAAATCAGTACGTGGGGGAAATTTACAGTACTGAATATATTTATTTAAAGACAATCAAAAATCAATAAACTTAAACTTCCAACTTAAAAGAATTAAAGGAGAAATTTGACGCAAGCAGAAGAAAGTAATAAAAATCAGAGTACAATGAAATTGAAAATAAAACTAAAACCAAAATCTGATTCTATGAAAAGATCAATAAAACTTCTATGCCACCAATCAGGACAACTGAGAAGAAAGGGAAAAAAACAAAACTGATAAGAAAGGACCACTACCTGACTGTTGGCACCTGTGCCCTATTTCTGCACCCCAGCCTTACACATTATCACAGCAGCTACCAGATCCCCCAGGACTTGCAGACTAGAGAGTAAACTGTCCCATGAGAGACATCTCTCAAACCCCGAGTGCTTGCACACACAGCCATGCACACACACAGACTACAACATCAAAGGCCTGGTCACAGTTATAGCAATCGCAGCCTTGGCTGGAACAGCACAGTCATTCAGAAAGCCGAGGGATCAAGCCTTAAACATCTGCTCCCCTCCTGTGCAGCCATCCCTGCCACCACACACACCTCCAGCAATTAGCAAACAAACCTCCTGTAATAATGGTCAAAACACTCATTGCAGAAATGTTCCCCACAGGAGAGGTGGTACCATCGGGATGTGTAACCGTTTTTGGCACATCTGAAACAGCAAAAACACATAGCTTTGGTAATGAATACACATTTCTTCTCTCTTAAAAAAATTTAGCAGCATGTACTATGAGCATATTCTCCATTATCTCCATCTAAGACTCCCAACAGCCATGAGCCCACAACAGGGCAAACTGGATGGATGAATGATACATAATACAGGTTGCGTATTTCTCAGATGTAATGCTTGAGATCAGAAGTGTTCTGGACCTCAGACTCCTGGATTTTGGAATATCTGCCTAAATATAGTGGGTTACTTTGGGAACTGAATTGCAGTCTAATACAAAATTCATTTGTTTCATACATACCTTACATACATAGCCAAAGGTCATGTTATACAAAATTTTTATGGCACCTACACTTTGACTTAGACCCGCCATTACCTGACAGCAGGTGTGGAAGTCATGACTTGTACTTGTAGCATCATGCTTACACTCAAAACACTTTGGACTGTAAAGCATTTTGGATTTCAGTTTGGAGAAGCTCTACACATAATACACATTGAGGACACAGAGATGTGTACAGTGGTACTTAACCTGGCTGGCTGCCTGGGTCTTGGGAGTCTTGCCAAGATTTCCTGAGGCTTTAAGGGTGTTTTGAGACGTGAAATGATGTCACTACACTTGCTCCAAGTCTGCATGTGTGCAGGACAGAAGGTTCCAGACGTAACACTGGCCCAGGACTAGGGAGTCATGAGTCTGGCCACCCACACCCTGAACACCACACAGGCAGTCTAGCAACATTAACCTGTCAGAGAGCTGTTGACACCGCAAGAAAAGAAAAAAATCACACCAGTGGGAACATCAGCACACCCCCTCTCTGAGCATAAAAAAACAGGATCTGTTTCCTAGGTTTACTGATGATTTTTTATATTTAACTTAAAAAGATCACAGGTGCTCTACCCGGACAAAAATGGCAGGACTGCAATTAAGGTCACAGTTTCTCTGAGACCTGTGTATAGGTAGAGGAAGAAGAGTCATGTTATATGAGGGAGAAAGGAATTACAGTAAAAAGTGAAAAGTAAACAGGTGCTGGTCCCCACTGAAGCGTAAGAGTCCTTTCAACCATGTCACCACTCTGCGCTGGTCCCAGTCAACCCCTGGGACAGGTGCAGCTAAGGTTGGTTGCACTGGAGGACACTGTATTGCAGAATTGATACTGGCGTGGTCTCTCCCTGCAGAGGGAGTGTAACGAGGTGTGTCAGGAGGCTGTGGTGAGCAGCGGATGCCTGAGCAATGTCTGTTATCAGAGGCCTTACAGTATCTGCCTCTACCATTAAGAAAACTCTCCTCACAAATGGTTTTCCTGTGTAACATGCTCTCCCGTACAGAACATAAGGCCAGTCCTCGCCCTGCTGAACAGACCTTTCTGAAGCACTTGCAAAGCACACAGGACACGTCGCAGTACAGCCTGCCTTTTCACATTTCCGGTATTTCTTCTCGGACACACCATCTTCATCCTCATCTGTTGTCTCCGTTACTTTCTTCTTTGCCTGTGGGAAAACCAGCTGAGGTTAAGGTTTCACAGGACTGACAAGGAGTGACAGCAGTGAGTTTACTAAAAACATGGACGTGCTGGAAGTTCTCTTGTTTTGTGCTGGGGATGCGACCCAGGGCCTCTTCATTAAGCTACCTTCCCAGCCCTATTGATCTAGCTATCTCTAGCTAGCTACTTATTTTTGAGACAAGGTCATGCTCAATCACTCAGGCTGAGTTCCAACTTGCACTCTTCCCACCTCAGCCTCCCAGAGTCCCAGGATTACCAGCACGCACTATTACACCAGGCTGCATCAGAAGCTCTAAACGTGAAAGTCAACCACCTTCTGGCAGTAGAATAGGCACTGACTGACCCAGCAAGTTCTTCACAACTCCACTGTGCAAATAATTCACTACCTTGCTAGAGATACAGAAACAGCTTTTTAACCATAGGAATCTAACAAAGCAAATCCATGTGAGCCTTTCTTAGGAAAGAGGACATCAGAATAAACAAAAGTCACTCTCAAACTAAGAATTCTTTCTTTCCTTAGAACTCTTTCAGTATCACAGATTTAAAAACTAGAAAAAGAACTGTATCATTCCATTTTTCTCTTAAGCAGGCCAAACACTGTACCTAAGGTAAAGAAAGAGCAAAGCCCTACAGATAAACCCTAACCAAACCCAAGCGACTCTGCAATGAGGTCTCCGTCACTCAGAATGACGTCCAAGGCCAGCAGGATCTGACCCAGCCTCCTAACTTGGAAGCAACTGCACACTGCAATTCCTGGACCACCCTATGCTCATCCACACTAGGCCTTTACCCTCACAAAAGTCCTCCTGGCCAGACAGGCAACTGTTTTCTACAGCCTATCACTTTATCATGCAGCATTATGAAATAGTGTGAATTTCTCCACTAGGGTGCAATCACTTTGAGGCCTGGCACTGACGTCTTTCTGGCTCATTGTAATATTTCTATGTACTCAAATAAGGTTTGTCGAGTGAACAAATGAATACTACCTGCCTACCGGAGCTCCTCAAAGGAAGGCTATCTGGAGTTAGATCAAATGCTGTTCTTTTCTTTGACCTTCCCCGAGGGGCTGCCATTGCATTAGAGATCTGAAAGAAAAAAACAAAAACAAAAATAACACCATTAAGTCAGCTTCTGCTGATGTTTTCAAAAGACAAGGAGCAAAGCTGTTAGGTAATTTAGGAGTGAGTGCGTTCTCTGAAGTAGGACCACCCGAGTATAAAACCACCACTTCCGAGGTACGTTAGGGAACCACACCAAGTCTCAGTACTGTCCTAAGTAAAAGGGGCACAGAAAGACAGTGCTGTGAAAACTAAACCAAATTACCCCCACAAAGCACCACTCCCGGCCAAAGTACGCATTGACATTCCTACACATATTTAAAACTGAGAAGACACATGAATAACCAATGAATACATTACACACTGTTTGTAAAATTCATTGGAGAAAAAATACAGCTTTTGTTATGTCCCTTTCCATTTACTGTTTGTTAGCAGTTCCTGAATTCTGATGTCTAGTGTGCTTAAAAAAAAGAGAAACTCATTCATTCCTTTTGGGTAAAACTCAAAATGTATCAGATACACTGGTCACTATTAAATAAAGAAATTCGGATTAGACAAAAGTACTGGTGTCTTCTACGAAAAAAATCTTGTGTGTTCTCAAGCTAGTCTAGTAACAATACAGTTAAAAAAAGATTAAGAATCGAAGTCTACATGAGAAATAATGCATAGTAACACAAAAGACTGACAGCTACTAGAAGTTTTCTGTTAACTGGGTGTGGTGGCGCACGCCTGTAATCCCAGCTCTTGGGAGGCTGAGGCAGGAGGATCGCTGCGAGTTCAAGACCAGCCTGGGCTACGTAGTGAGTTCCAGGTCAGTCTCAACTACATAGTGAAACCCTGTCTCAAAAAACCAAAAAAAAAAAAAAAATCCAAAAGCAGAAAAGTGACACTATTAACTACAACTTCGCATACATAATTCTAATCTTGAAGAAAAGCTCCGAGAGCTTGTAATTTTGAACTATTTCATATTTGTGAGGCATACGAACATCCTTTGGAATACTGTTAATGGCTTATTAATACCCTATGGAAAAACTTTACCACCTCCACTAATGGAGAAATCTTGGTATCAGTAGAACAGATCATTCTTTGACTTCACTTCATCTTCATTTTCTTAGGACCAATACATTAGCTTTGAGTTCTAAAATATATTATAGTTCTTTGAGCATTAAATTACCAGTTAGGATGGCTAGAGATGTAGCTCAGTGGTAAAGGATGACATTAGCATGCATGAGGTCCCAGATTCAATCCTCAGCACCAAAATAAATAAATACATTTCCAGTTAGTTCTACAGCTTCCATATACAGTTAGATAGAATGCTAATAATGTTAGAAACACTATCCACCTAGTCACTCTTATACTCAAAGAAGGCTTTCCAGATAAAAGGTTGTCTCTAACAAATCATTTCCTATATGTAAATATTAATTCTCATACATATAATGCATCTCTTCATTTACATAGAAAAACATAGTCCTCACATTATAAATAAAATGAACCACAAATATTAAACACATATGTATATAGTTTATGTAAATACATAGTATATACAAATATTATAGCAAAAATATCTGAGGTCCAATGTGGAATTTAGGAACATAAATTAAACCAGTCTAGGTTCATACATTAGACCGTCAGCTAGGAATGCTCATGTTCTAAAAGAAAACATAATTCCCAGAAATTTCATATAATGCTTTAATCTAACAGTACACTAAAAAGTATGTGCTTAATGCAAAAAAGAATAATATAATTCAAGAAGTGGTTGCAGGGTGTAGTGGTGCATGCCCGTAATCTCAGCACTTGGGAGGCTGAGGCAGGAGAATTGCCATGAGTTCCAGGCCAGCCTGGGCTACATAGTGAACTGAAGACCAGGCTGAACTACATAGCAAGACTCTGTCTCAAAAGAAAAAAAAAAAAAGTGATTAAAGAGGAAATGAAAACCTAAGCTATAAAAGCCATTATTAAATTTGAGTGGTTTTTTAAAGATATACATTTTCACCTTAATAATATAACTGAGTTATATACTGCCATTTTTTGGCACTTAATTTAATCTCAGTATTTCCACTGTTGCTGAGTATTTATGTCTTGAAGGAAAGAAAAAATTTAGGTTGGAAAGACTAAAATAGCTGTGCTTTTAAATTCAACCTTTGAAATACTAACTAAACTGTAATTAAACCAGTATACTGAAAGTTTCCCCACTCAATTCTTCAAATGAAACAATTAAACATAATCATTTTATTTCATATCCAATTTTTATGTGCATTTCTTCCTAATTTTAAATACACAGCTTTGATTTTAACGTAATAAAAAGTGGGGTGTGCTTTTGTAAATATGTAAGCAGAAATATAAATACGAAAATATGTAGTTCTGTATTTAAATAATCCCAGGTTTTTGTTTTGTGTTTTTCAGTACTAGGGATAGAACTAGGGCTTCACACTGAGTTACAGCCCAGCCCTTTTTTAATTTTGAGGCAGGACCTAAGTTGCTAAATTGCCCACACTGGGCTGGAACTTGAGAGTGTCCAGCCTCAGCCTCCCAGGGGGCTGGGATTCAGAGTTATGTGCTACCACACTTGGCTTCAATAAGAGATTTTTAAAACACAAAATTCATGACAACATGAATCAAAAGGGCTCCAAATTAGAATAAATATGTATCGTACAATCAGCATAATTTCTACAAACTGGACAAACTACTAGAAACTTCAGACATTTTTCACAGCGCCATTTAAGACAAGGCAAAACTTGCTTCCTATCGTTCCCTGGCTAATCAATTTTTCAGAAAAATTGAACCAGTACAATAACTCAATTTTGAATTATTCAATATCCAGTTCAATAATTCAGTCCTGAATCATCAAGTGCTTAGATGTCTTCTGCCGACTTCTCTGCCTACAAGACAATTAATTATTGATGGTGATTGTCTTTTGCACCTTTTGAAGAAAACCTCCCCCACCTCACTGGCCTTTCTTCTGCTAAAATGACTTAAAAACGAAATAAAAACTGACAACAAGAGTGCGGAAAGGTGTGTACATTTGGAGGGACCCCACCCCCAACCAAAGCGGCCCACGGAGCCCAGCAAACTCACCCAGGGGAAGACTGGGCCTCTGTCTGGCTGGGTTCCAGATCTCTGAACCCCAACTTCGTCCCGGCTGGGCCTGCCCCTGCCTTCCCCTCTCACCCGCTACTTGAGGGTGAGTGCGGGCCGGTGCTCCCCTAACCGGCACCCACCTCGCTGCTGCACCTGCGAGGCTCCGCGGGCTCCTGCTCTCGGGACTGGGGACCGCGGGGGGACGCGGCTGTGACATCCCCCAGAC